AGCCAGCAAGGCTGGCTGGGGAATTCTGGGAGTTGAAGCCCACCCATCTGAAACCTGCCATGGTTGAGAAACACTGGCCTGTAGGCATGTTTATCCAAACACGCCTCCAGCTCCCTTTCCAGTTTGAACTCTACAAGCAAGGATAACTTAGCCTTACAGTACTCACATGCTGGGGAGTGTTTGCGTTGGGCAAATATGGGCTTTGGAGTCAGCCAGAAAGAAGGCGGTTGGGCCCTCTCTTCACTGCACAGCTGCCTAAGCTTGTTCCCCCTCACATAGTTTCCACGCTGCATCTGGCCCTAAAGCGGCATTTCTTAACCTCATGATGCCATCGCGGACCAAGATCTGCTGGCTGCCTTCCCACGTACTTAGGTGAGGATGATCAGGCTTCCCACTGGCTGAGAGAACAGCATCTTTTTGGTTCCGGTCGCCCCCAAATTGTTTTAATTTGCCCTTACGGTATTCATTGCTTTTCTTTTGGGTTTTGGTACGCTGCTCAGAGTCATGCTGTTAGAGTTGGGTGGCCATATAAATGTTCTTAAATAAATAAAGGAAACATGTACATACATGTTATTAAATAAATGTGTAAATAAACATGCTTGTTGTTAAACTTGTATGCCGCTCAGTTCTCACCAACTCTGGGTGGCTCGTGACGATCAAAGAAATTACAATAAAGTCAATAAAATAAAAAAAAATAAAGAGAAAAGATGGCCAGCGCAATGAAGCGAAGGGTCTCCCTCCCTTGCTGAAGGCCTGGGTGAAGAGCCAGGTCTTCATGGCTCTTCTAACAACAGCAGAGTTGGGGGGCATCCAGATCTTGGGGGGTGCCTTGTTCCTGAGGGCAGGCAGAAGGGGCACTTCTGGCGTCCCCATAGATGACATTGCTTAATTGAATGAACCCGGAGTGTGTCAACTCTTCCAGATCAAATTGGCTAGGCAAATGTTATGGGAGACAGGTGGTCCATCAAGTAACCAGGCCCTATGCCTTGGAGGACTTTATAGGTAACAATCAGCACCTTGAATTGTACCCGGAAGCAAACTGGCAACCGGTGCAGCTCACGAAGCAGAGGCGTTACGTGGGCATATGGAGGCATGCCCGTCACTGCTCACGCCGCTGCATTCTGGACAAGTTGAAGCTTCTGGATGGTCTTCAAGGGCAGCTGGGGAAACCCACAGACCTCTTCTCAGGAGCATGTATTTGAATGCATTAAATAAAATATGTAAATGTAGACTGTATTACAAAAGAAACCAATACTGCTCAAATACAGTTATTAAATTATTAAAAAGTGACAAATATGTAAGACGGTAATATATGTGCTTCTTTATTAATCCATGACAGATCCTCCTGGAGAAAATTTGTTTAGTTGCTGAGAGTCAACACAGACTCGATGGTACATAATCAAATATTAATCCATGAAATCAGTCACAGGACAGTACCCTTTTTAAGGGTATAGTAATTTTAGATAGGGGGATTTCTTAAAATTAAATATTTTTGGAGTTTGGAGGCCATATATTACTTTGTTGCCTACATACTTTATTCAGTGAAAAGCTAAATTTCAATTAGAGGTTAGTGAAAATAAAGTTGTAATTTTTTTTCCCACCCAAGTTCACGGAACCCCTAAAATCTATCCACGGACCCTCAGGTTAAGAACTTCGGCCCTGTCCTTGCAGACTTTTTAGCCCTTGTGCCCTTTGAAGAAATTGGCGCGGGGGGAACCACTCAGCCCTGCCCCATTCTTTGAAGCCCTCACTACACCAGATGAAAAGTAAATGTGGGGAGTCAGAGGGGGCCCAGGAAGGAAAGGGTGAGCTTGCTCAACAGGAGAACAGGAAGAGTGCCCGGTGATGTGGTCAGTGCAGGAAATGCTATGGAAGAGAAGCTGTCTCTGTGGAAGTTGTGTGCCACTGTGGTTGTGATATTGTTGCTTTTAAACGAGGGAGAAACCCCAAACCCAGCTCCCAGAGTTTTCAAGAATCAAGTCACATTTCTCTCAGAGGAAAGACGAACCAGAATTTCATTCTTTTTACTCTTCGTCCTTCATGAATCTTCTGGAAATGAAAGGAATCTAGATTCCGCTTCCCCCAGGATTTACGGTAAAACGTTGGGAACATTATTAGCAGTATATAACCTTGAGGGAAAGAAAGATTTTGCAGCCCTGTAATACAAGTGGAACCTCAGGTTACGAACGCTTCTGTTAACGAACTTTTCGGGTTACGACCAGCTCCG